GAGGCAAGCACAGGTCCTGTAATTGGGAAGTGAGGTCCATGCAGAGAGGGGAGGGAAGGCAAGGTTGCTCCTGGGGTTCTGTCCCAGCACTGGCAGGAAGCTGGGAGCCACAGCAGGCCTGGGCCAGGGTCCCGTGGGGCTCACCATGACGGCATAAGCGAAGGCCACGATGTTGACAGGCCACATGGGGCAGAAGCAGGACAGGATGGCGAGGATGATGTAGTCCCGAGGTTTCTGGGTGCCTTCACCCCCCTCCACCCCAGAACCTGCCAGCTGGGAACTAGGGTGGCGGCTCAGGCTACCTCGGGGTGATCCTGGATGCCCACTGTGAGCCCTTCCTAGTCTGTCCTCCTCAACCAGCTGCTGCAGCACTCGGGGAGGAGCCCCATTGGCTGGGGGGGTTTTTGTTGAGGGTGGTGAATGAGGCTGGGGGGCTGGACCCTCTTCTCCATCACCAGCCTGCAGGGGGATCACTGCCCCATTCTCCTGCTTTTCCCCCACATTCTCAGTCAGGACCTCAGGGGTGGGGTCCTCCTGGGAAGGGGGCTCTGATTGAACAGCTGGGCTGGGGGTGGGCTGGGAAGCTGGTTGGGGGTCTGGCTGAGGGTCTGATTGGGTGTCCAGCTGGGGAGCAGGCTCTGAGGCTGGCTCAAGTGAGGCTGCAGACTCCAGGTTGGACCCCTGCTCTGCAGTGGCCTCTTTGCTCACATCTGGTTTGGATGCTAGCTCTTGGCATGCTTCTTCAGGACTGAAGTTGGCCTTTGACTCCCCTCCTGGGCTTGAGCTTAGGTCTCTGGCCTGGGCTGTTTCTGGGGCCTCGGTTGGGGTCTGTGTGGTTTCTGGAGCCAGCCCAGCCTTGGGCGCTGAGTCCACAGGGTCCCCAGTGATGTCTGAGCCTGGCTGCAGGGTCTCTGGCTCAACTGGGACCCCAGCTGGGACCTGGGGAGGGCCAGTTCCAGCTTCAGAATGGCCAGGCCCTTCTTCCTGGGTCTGGGGACTCTCCTCTACCCTCTTCATCTCAGAGACCTCAGAGCTGCTGGCTGCCATCTTGAGATAAGAGAGGGGAGAGGGCCTCTGTGGGAAGGATGGAGCAGCAGAGACAGCAGCAAATCCTGGAAGAGGAGGAAACAGGCTCGGTGTGAGAAGAGAAGAGGTGGCTGTCAGCACTGCAGCCCAAGGGGGCGATGCTCCTGTCTCAGGGCCAGCCTTGGGCTGCCTCTGGAGAAAGGAAAAAAAGTTGGGGTTTCCTTTGCCTTGGGGTGGGACATCTCTGGGGAGGAGTGCTCTGCTCAGTCTCCTGGTTGAAGAGCCCTGGGAAGATTAATCCTTTTGTAAACAGGACCTTCCCCATGGTCTCTTCCTGGGTCCACCCAATAAGATCCAGACTCTCAGATCCTAGCAGATGCCACAGCACCCCCAAATCAACAAGCTGTTCAGAGACCCATACACTCCCACAGGCAGACTGGACAGAGGATCTGATACTCGCATTCCAATCCTTCTGTATCCTCCGCTCTCCCCTGGGCGTCCAGCCGGTGCGGTTTTCTTGCTGCGCGGTTGGGGCGCAGACACCCTCCGCCCCTCCCTGGGGAACCTGGTCATCTCCTCTGAGCCCCTTCCCAGCCCCTCTCCCAGGGATTCCCTCGCCCCCAGGGGACCGGCGCTGCCTCCACCCATTGGCGTGGCGCACCCAGCACCGTCAGCCAGTCCGCCAGGAACCCGCATTCCAGTGCAGCCCTCTCGGCGTCCGCCGTCTGTCCATCCACTCCTACCCGCAGCCTCAGTGCATCCCCGTCTCACCTCGACGCCGGCCTCCAGACTGCTCCCGCTGCTGCCGCCACCGCCACCGCCGTTGCAGCAGCCGCAGCCTGGGAGGGAGCAAGTCAGCGAGCGAGCGAGGGAGGGAGGTGGCCCCTCTGCTCGTCCCCTCCTCTCCTGCTCTCAGGTCCCCTCCCCTACGCTTCGCTGCCGCCGCGCACCGCCCCCGCCCCTTGCACGCCTCCTGCCCCTCCCGGCCAGCCCGAGGGAGCCACGCGCGCCAAGCCCCGCGTTACCTGGGCAACCG